ATGATGTTATTATGTCCACTCATGACGCTGTGTCTGTCCTGGATTTAATGTAAATATAATATGGCCAATATTATATGTATTGTCAGATTATTATGATATATATTACAGGATATATTACAGCAGTGAGCCTGAACTCTGTGTCAAAGATTCAAGTTGCAGTTATTTATATTTCCTATCACATTAAATCTTCACTCAAAGACAAGTATCTTTGACAGTGTATATATAGATGTATTATACATAAGAGACAAACATTGTTCGTTTAATATGTTGGCATTATTACATTTGGCTCAATGCTTACATACATGTGTAAAAAGCTAATGTACGAGCTGTGATAACTGTTGGTGATAGAATGAAGAGTAGACTGATATATGAAATATTCCTTTATTGGGTGAGAAAATCAGACCATGTCATAACTGCTTTAAGTCATACAGAATAGATATCAGAGCCTTAAACAGGCTGACTTCTGCTAAATGGGTCAAACTGGGCAGAAAGTGTCCAAACACATAACATCCTTATAGAATATGATGCAACACTATAGATCAACTTACCTCAGAATATATAAAGCATATAAACAATTACAGCAATATGATGCAACAAACACAGCAGTGCTACTAATGCAAAATACTCAAAGCTTCATAGAACTGAAACCAACATTTATTTTTAGCTCCATTCTGCTGCTGATACATACTTTAGGTTTCTGAACATTAAACTTGTTGCTGCCTTTCATAGTGTGTAACTTGAAGGCCCTGAGTACTTTCTCCCACACTGAAAACACTGGAATGATAAAATTATTTGAACATTACCTAATAAGACTGATTCAGGACAGACAATTAGTTATTTAAACTTTTCTAGCAGTCCTTCACAAACAGGGAACAGTCTTTCTATTCTCTCCATCTGTCAGCTGCTGCTTGCTCTTCCTCCTCCTCTTCCTCACACACTGCTGAGTTTGTCCTGGTGGATCATCAGGGGTGCAAAGCCTCACAGATGATGTGCAGCAGTGGGTCCCTCAGTCTGTCCTCACTCTGGACACTTGCAGTTGTCACACATAGAAATCAAATGTGTGATAAGCTGCAGGATTCAAACACAAGTGTGACTTATAAACACACGTTCATACTTTTATTCCACAATCAGAGAGAAAGAAAAAGAGAGTGAGTGCAGGACAGACAGACAGGTGACAGTCTCAGGTGTACACACTGCTGCAAACAGGAGGATTTAGTGTTTGTGTTATTACGAGTGCTAAACAAGAAGAGTTCCCAGATGGTGCAGTGGACACATGTGTGACTCCTGTGATTAAAGCATCTTTCTTTCAGCTTAACGAGTGAACCGTCAGCTCGTTCAAACACACGTTAAAGTCCGTTTGGCTCGACACCACCGAACAGAGGCAGCAATATAACATAGCTAACATTAACAGTGCAGTGAATCCTGCTTGTGCCGTGATATTCAGGACTGCAAACCGAGCAGCATCACTGACTTTCAGCTTGTTGTGTTTGTGGACATTGTGGTGGCAGATTTCTTTTCTCATGTATCAATCACATATTTAATCATATCACATTAGTTATAGTAATATCACGTTCTCACTTTACTATAGTAAGAGCACTCCTGTCACTAGTTTACATGCATGTGTTATGTTAACACAGTGAGGCAATTGTAATGGGAGACGTTAAACAGATAGTGGGACTCCTTCTGCTTATCAGGGATGTAAATCCTTAGGTGACGGCCAAGCAGAAAACAAGGTCATAATTCTCTCTGTGAAGGATAAGGTATAGCGCCCCCCCACTTCAAATCAAGCTCACTGGGTGTGTTGTTAAAATTTCCATAACAATATATTACTGACTTTAATTATCCATAAAATTCTCACATTGTCTTTAAGATTAAGTTCAACTATTGAACGGCGTATATTTTAAAGTAAAGGCTTTAAAATCAAGTAAACGCTGAAAGTACAAACATCACTAATGTCACATAACTTTGCCGACATGTGGCCAACAGTAATGTTTTAATGTTCTTCATTATTAAACATTCGCACATAAATAAGTGACATAATATTCAGTACTTACTTTTGAAAGTTTACTCTTCGGCCGCCTCGCTTCAGCCGCCCGACGTTTTTTCCCAAAAAAATATCTACACCCACCGCCGCGCTATGAATTGTGGGATATATGGGACCATGAAGTCTACACGGACCCAGACTTCAAATTTGGGGAAATGAACTGCGCATTTGTTGACCGCATTTGGAGTACACTTCGAATTAGGATACCCCTCGTCGCATCGCTGCGATGTAATCCGTCTACAAATGCGCACTACGAAGCGTGCGGTCGCTGGATTGGGACTAGTGATGGCAAATTTGATTCTTTTTACTGAATCGAGTTTGAATGAGTCACTCACCAAAGTGAATCGGGTTTTTTGAGTCATTTGAGTCCCTGAGTCAGTTGCCCAGACAGTGCAAAAAATGTAGATTTTCACTCAAACTTAATTTGTTTCTCTTTTCATGTAAATCCTACTGCTAAGATGAGTGATTGAAAAAGAAAAACAACTATTTTTATAGAGCAAAAAAGAGCAAAAAAAGATTTCTAAAGGGAACATTTATTTTATTTATTTGATTTTATTACTATTTTCCTCAAATGTGTCAAATATATATTTTCTCATCTCAATGTCCACTGAGCTGTGGGCGGTAATGTGCCTTAACATTGGTTGCCAACCAAGAAGAAGAAGAAGCTGTGAGCCAGGATGGGAGAGGGTGAGTGACTCCTGAGTGATTCGTTCATATTACTATTCACCACAGGAAAGGAGGGGGTGAGTGAGTAGCTGTGTCCCAAAACGTAGGCTGCATCCTCCGGAGGCCGCATTTGAAGACCGATTACGTCACAGCCAGGCAACGAAGGCTGTCCCAATTCGTCGACTCCTTCAAATGCGGCCGACAAATGCATCCTTCATTTCCCCGAATTTGAAGGATGGGTCGGGTGTGTCTTTCGTGGCCCACCATATCCCAGAATTCATAGCGCGACCCGGCCAATTCCAGTTTCCAACAATGGCGGCCGCTAGTAAGTTTTAATATTATGTGACACACTGTAATGTGTGGTCACATTATGTGATTTAATTTTTGTATATTGTATAAGCTTTTAGGTGTAGTTTTGTTAAGGAAGGGCCTTAATCTTGTGATTTTTGTTGGAGATCCAACATGTGGTGTGATCCCTAGTTACGCCACAAGGGGGCACTTCCGCCCCAGTGAGATGGTTTAGTGTGACGCTACTGCTCGTCTTCAGATCTGGCAGAAGCGAGAGAGGAAACACACTACCTGTCGTCCATCTCATGATTTATCTGTTTTTTTCAGGTTAGTAAGTAATAAGGCCACACATGTGGTCCACATAATTTACATGCCAAATAAGGGTAAAACCTGACCAGCAGTTTGTTTTGCTGGGATCTGTATTCGTCTGTTTTGCTCATTGAAATGTGTTACGATCGAGAGTAGGAGCTAGCTTAGCTCGCCACATCCTAGAGTAGCTGTTAGCTTTGTTGTTTTCTAAACTTAAGGCACCCTCTTGTAACAAAAGTACACCACGGCTCCTGTATATTTGAGTTAATGTGTTCGCAGAGACAGTTTGATATGTTGTCACTGTTATTGTCTAAAGTTAGTGTAATAACCTATAATAATTCTGATCGCTCTGCAATGTTGATGTGGAGATTTCCACTACACAGATACGCCATTAGTATATGGTACAGTACTGGAATGTTTGCTTTATCAAACTATGTGTGAAAAAAGTGTGATTTATAGCTCTTAGTAACAAACAACAGAGATGACTGTTTAGATTTTTGCTTATACTATTACTATACTATTTTAGTTTATTCTGATTTTGGGCTTTGGGAATGTGAGACAGAGATGCTAAGAAGTTTTTGCAACCTGTTGTGAACACATGAATGTGTTTAAATAAAGATCTGGCAGAAGCGAGAGAGGAAACACACTACCTGTCGTCCATCTCATGATTTATCTGTTTTTTTCAGAACCAGACATAATCTGTCAGCCGCCCTCTTGCTTGGGGTGTGTTACAATTACTCTAATTAATCTTTCTGGGTCAAACTTTCAACATATTTTCAGGCAAGAAAGTAGCTGTTGAAACTTTAAATATCTGCTCGGTTTATCAAGACCGCATATTTTCAAAAGTGCTTCGACGTTTTCGGAAACGTCTGTTACCCTCCCGCTCGATAGGTAGCCGGGGGTTTCCATGGTCACTCGACCCGGCGAGAGCAGCGGACTCCCGGCTTCATTGTTTTCAGACCCCTGCAGGTTAAACATGATATATAAGTCACTCGGATAACTTAAAAATGTAAATGTTTGGCTTTTTTCAGTGTTTGTTTTGTTCCAGAGTAAATAAGTTTGCCTGAGATCAGAAGTTGTTAGCTTAGATAAGATTAAATAAAGCTTTATTAATCCATCGGGTGGGTCAGCTCTAGTCTGCGTCTGCCCCTGCTCATTGTCGCGTCGTCCCTCACACTTCACTGTGTGTTCTATTTGCGAACTTGCCTGCCTGTTAGTTTTTCTTTCCCAGTTTGGCCAGTGTTCTGTTCTGTCTGCTACCCCTCAATAAAGCTGGATATTTTGAATCCACTTTGCCTACATGAGTCCAGCTCTTGGGTCCGCCATTCCTGCCTACCTTCACACAGCCATGACATTTTTTTCCCCATTACATCTTCCTTGCATCCATCCAGCCATTTCTTCTTATTTAATTAAGGTTTGTCAGGAGATGAAATTAAACTGTAATTTTTCTTAATGTGTTAAAGTTTGACATTTCTGGTTATAATTCTAAGCTGCTTTATTATTTCTGTTGTCTGGGAACAGTTTGTTCATGTTTTACAGTAAAAACATACCATCTGTATGACAATGCTTTATGAATAAAGTTAAACAACCAAAAAAACAAGTTAAATAACCTCTTCCTGAAACCAGTGAGGGCGGGTGTGTCTTAATAAGGAAGTTTGAGTCACTGCCATTTTGAAGCGTGAGTCATCAGAAGGACACAGCACTGCAGGTCAAAGGAGGACTCTAACCCTCAGATAAACTCTGCATTGAGTGGGAAAGTGAAGGTGAAACTTTAAAAAGTTTTAATTTTAAATTATTTTTCATGAAGTTTTTTTCAGAGACTGAAGATTCTTTCAGGTCAGGTTGCTTCATGCTTTCTCATTCTTTCTGTTTCCGTGTGTAAGCATATGTGCTGCTATTTGTCTACATGGCAGTGTAGAGTTTATTCACATACCTACATGCGCACACACGTTTGAATTATTTGCTTATATGGCTGGTTCAGTCTGTTCTCATTTCTATGTCATCGTTTAGTGCTGTTTTATTAAAGCAGCTGGTGTGGCTCATTTATGCATAGGTTTCTTTTAGTATTTAAGCCTTGTACACCAGATTATGGCATCATTGTGAGTGATCAGTAATTCTCAGTTCTAAATCTGGTAACAGGCCATTGTGTTGTGAACTTTAATTACTTAACTTAGATTTTATTGCCCAAATGTAACCAGTGGAAACGCACATAGAAAAGTCTGAGTGGGATGAAAACCATGTTTTCCAGGCAGGTAACACTGAAAATGATCCCACTTCCATCCAATCAGTCTGCTAATGCAAGTGTAGTTGGCCAGGTTACTCTCCCCGCTCTGTTACTACTATGCCTTCTCCAGGTCATGATATCTCACAGCTACAACAGCAGCAGCTACAGGTAGGCTGCATGTCTGTCGTCATCTGGTTCTGTTGGCTTAAACGATAAGAGATTTAGAAAGTTACCCAGTAGCTGGCAACACTGTTTATAGTGTAACCAGCTACTCATTTCCAGCAGACACAGAGTAAGTAGTGATCCTTCTATCAGCAATTTTGAAACAGAGTCCTGTCCTGTGTTTGTGGTGAGTGGATATGTTATTCTTATTGAATGCTAATTGTTAAATGTAAGCTAATGCAATTGTTTTATCTTGGTAAATGGACTGATTCTTATATAGCACTTTTCTTCTCTCCCAGTAGGGCTGTTCGATATAACGATATATATCGGATGACGATATAAAAACGTCTATCGTTTCATTTTACGCTATCGTTTGTTTCGTGGTGTCGCAAAATAAACTGTTTACGGCAATATTTGTTCATCGTTTTGATGGTCACTGTAGTGGCTATATTAATTTCTTAAAGTTCTCTCTTTGTCTTATATTTAATATAACCACACTACGGACGGACAAGCGCCTGATTTTATGCGTTGTCGTTAGAAACAGTGACGGTAACACCTTCGCGTGTCCGCTTGCTTATGTTCCACATAAACCTTTCACAATAAAGCTCAAGATCCTTGTGGTATTGCAAGAAATTAGTTGGTTATATAAATATATGAGTATGCATAATAGTTATTATTCATAGATACCTACATCCTCGATTCCACTCGAACAGGCCAAACAGCGTGCAAAAAGCGGTCTTGGGCTTATCCTGCTCAGAAACTGGCACCTGGTTGTACCCGCTGGCCAGGTCGATGGTAGAAAACCAGCGTGCGCCAGCAAGGGCATCCAGACTTTCCTCGATGCGAGGTAAAGGGAAGGAGTCCTTCCTCGTTTTGCTATTCAGCAAACAGTAGTCAACGCACAGACGGAGACTTCCATCCTTCTTGCGGACCAACACAATGGGAGAGGCATAAGGACTGCTACTCTACCTGGGCCTCCAATAGCTGATTGATATGGGCCCTGACAGCCTCATAATCAGAAGGAGGAATTCGCCTGTATCTCTGCCGGACGGGTGCGTCATCAAGCAGAGGTATGTCGTGCGAAATGAGGTTTGTGCAGCCCAAGTCTCCCTCATGAGTGGAGAAAACAGAGCGGTACTTCTGCAAAAGTAACCGTACCTCATGTTGCTCTGACTCAGCGAGAGCTGACAGGTCAATTGCATCCACCATGTCTTGAGCAGGGCTGCTGGTTGGGAAACTGTGACGGGAAAAGAGTGTTCCTCGCTAACACCAGCAGGGAGGCTAACAACCGTAGCTTGGCTTATTACTCCCAAACGGTTCCGCGGGTGGAGAACAGCTTCAGCTGTCCCCACATTGGTGACTGGGATGTAGGCAACGCCCTTATCCACCTGGACCAAACATGGAGAGGCCAGCAACCCAACTGGCAACCCGGACTCAGAAGGCTCAAAAAGCACAGCCTGACCTGACAACTGCTGAGAACAGGTGTTAGCCACCAGCTGCATAACGCCACCAGGTATCCGCACGGCCCGCGGGCCCTGTACCTTGACGGTACCGGCAGGGTCCTCCGAGGCTTGGGCTGCAGACTGGTGACACTGATGTAAGGCCTCAAAAACTGGTCTCGGTGCCTGTGACACAGAAGGAGAATTAAACAAGGAGCCACCGAAAGCCCCAAACAGCTTGATAACAGCTGTTATCAAGCCCGAAAGCTTGATAACAGCGGCGAATTACATTCATTCCTAAAATACCAGGGACAGAGGGCGTGGCACCAGGAGGGTCCTTCACTATAAGGACATACACCAGGGTCATTTTTGACAACACAAGGGTTAAGAATGTATAACCTGCAGAGGCCACCATTGTTGCTGTATGTCCTCTGGGAAGAGCTGCTGTCTACCCTGCATGGTTTTCCATGCAGCGTTTTGCTTAGTGTTTCACTTCTGCTGGATTGCCTAATACTGAACTGTTTGTTTGTAAAGTTGCCTGGCTTCAGCAGCTTAGTATGGGACCTTTGCCTGGAGTTGTCCTGGGGACCGGGTAGGTTTTGCTTTCGGTTTTCATTTCATTGTGTTCAGCTATTCCCTTCATGGAGCAGTTGTTGAGCCAGACACAATTGTGGATCTAACTGCGGCTACCCGGCTCAGTTGGCAGCCTGATTATGTTAAAAAACTGCAACTGGAAAGTTGGAGAAGTGACATCTTTCACATAAAATGGTGATGAAGGAGCCCTCTAATGAACAACATTAGCCATTTATTGTAATTTATCCTGAACTGCCTCATGCCTTTTGACACCAACATCATGTCACAGATTTCTCATTAAAACACTTCTGGTGGTGCATTTCCTTGTTAGCCCCATAAAACTGGTGAAAGCCTTACTGGTTAACCTACAGTCTCACTGTAAAATAATGCATCTCTGTTTGTGTCCACAGAGTCTCCATGACCACAGTTTGATTTACAATCCAAAGCAAAAGTTTAGAGGGCAAGTTGGTCATCTGACGAAAATGGCTTCTGGACCAAAAAGAAGACACAGCAAACAGCTGCCTCCTAATCTGTCTGAATTAATGGACAAACTTACTGAAGAAGCAGCTTTATTCATCCAGCAGTTTAGCACCAGTGAACCAAGGATGAGAGAAATTGTAGAAGAGTTTCTGAGGATTTCAAATAAAATAAAAGACATGCAGTGGAAAATGGACACAGTGAGAAACGTGGGAGCTGTTACTGGAGGAGCAGCAGTAGCAGCAGCTGTAGTCATTGGAGCCTCAATCGTTGCAGCTCCGTTCACTGGTGGGATGAGTTTACCATTTGGAGCTGCTGCTATAGGCAAAGTTTTTGCTGCTGGTGGAGTTGCTGTTGTTGCAGCCAATATAAGAAAAATGATGTCAGAGAGTGGAAGTGCAAAGAAAGTAGAAGAACTGGGGAAAGAATTCATGGCGATTGTGGAACCAATGAAGAAGAACCTGGAAGAAATAAAGATGACGTGTGAAAAGTTGGAGGAAAAATCAGCAGAAGCTCAGGCTGAAAACTCTCTGACTGATGTGGAGGAGCTTCAGAGGTGTCTTAGACAAGTGTCTGAACTTAAAGAGAAAAGTGCAGGAGTTTTGACTGAATCTGTATCAGTGCTGTATGCGATCAATCAGCTACTGATTCTCATTGTCAGCATCTTCAGGGTGACTGCAACCCCTGAAAACGATAAAAGGTTAGAAGAGGCCATTATCCAGTCAGCTGATCAGAGTCAAAAGGTTGTTAATGAGTTATATGAGATGAGAAATGAACTCGGTGACTTCACAGAAAAGACGAGAGAATAGAAACCACCCTGTGAACCAGTTCAGACTAACAAATAAAATTTTAAGAATAAAGGATCACCAGACTGTGATCTGGACTGTATGAAGGACTCATGTAGTTTGAGCCTGAGCTTCCTCATGACCTCCGTTAGCAGACTGGATGTTGTTGTATATCCATGTAAAGCTGGTCCACAGCCTCTCCACTGATCTGCAAACATTTATTTGACTGTTTTTACTCCACATTTAACCTGAATTAAGAGATTCTCACTGATTTTCTTTTGTTCTCACTGGAAAAGCTGTGTTCTTGTGTCATCACTAATTAAAAGCCTTCAGAGACAAACACATGAGACATGACAAAGCATTTTTTTTTCTGTTCAGTTCAACCACAGACTTAACAAAATAAAACAAAACAAACTGTCAGCCAAATTCTGTACTTTATATTTTTAATGTTTTTTCTACTTACTGTTTTTAATTTAGGGGTAGAATCATGTTTTATTCATGCATTACTTTCAGTTTTAAAAACTATCATGTTCAGCTCAATGCAAAAGGGAACATGAGAAGGAGTTCTCATGTTCTTGACTTTCATTGTCAAAGGATGTGCTTTGATTGGAAAATGTGTGTTTCTTTTAAATGCATGTATTACAGAGAACATTTGGGATCATCAGGTGACTGGACTACCTGCAATTCATCACCAGTTTAACCATGTGAAAATGACTTTAATTACTTCACTGATTAATATCAAAGGTATACATGTAAAATAATGAAAAAAAACCATTTTATTTTATGTAAATTTTTATGGTAACTTGTTTTGGTTTTTGCTCATTTTTGGTTCAGTTTATTAGGTAGTCTGCGAGGATAAACAGTCTCTTTGCATGATATTTTGGATTGTATTGTACTGTATTTGTCTGCAACTATTCTACATAAAGTCATCAAATGTCAACTAGATTCTTCATTCTTGACACTCGATGTTGCTTGGACATAATAGCCTGAGATCATTTATCAGCACAGCTTAAAGTGAGATTTGGTAGGTGGAGGCAGTAGCGGCTTTAGATACGGGCGACACGGGCAGTTGCCCGGGGCGGCATCGTGGTGGGGGGCGGCATCAAGGGCATCGTCAGAAAAAAAAAAAAATGCTCGTACTCATGCTGCCCCGACGTTAGCCAGCGCATATTGGGAATGGCATAGACACCGTTCGGTTTTCTATCGCCCATTTGCTGGGAGTAAGGGCGCCCTTCATTTGCGAGGTGCGCCTGCTGCTTGCGGCGCAGAGAGGAGAGGAGAGGGCGGTGGGGGATTCTCTGATCGGCTGGAGCAGCATCTAATAACCAACTCGCAAAATAAAAACAAACCAACAAACACGAAATAACCAGACATTATAATACAGACTTATAATTTGCACCGATGTTTTTTCGAAATTCTATACACGAAAAGTGAGCGTGAGAGCCTGCTTGCTGCTGAAGTCAAAGTAAACTTTATTGTCATCTCTGCTACAGTCCAGTATATAGAGAGACGAGACGACGAGGCTCCAGTTACAGCAGTGCAATAAGAGTGCATATAAGAAGAGTAAGAAAATATATATACACTTTAGGACTAGGGATAAAGGGATCAATAACAATTTTATAATTTACAATTTGATGATTTAAAGTCTCACACACAACCCGTCGAAAGGGGAGGGGGGGCCCGCTGCTTCCAAATAGAGCACATTTCATTTATAATGTTGTAAATCCAAGCCCATTATGTATTCATGATTTGAATCCTGGGTTGTGTGAAATCTCAGAAATGCACCCTAGACAAAGTGAATCTGTGAACTAAGGTGTAGGTGTGTTAGATCATGTTGTGGTGATCCTTGAGTTGAGGGATGGGTGTTCATACTGGAGTGCAAAATTAAAACCAATGGAAGATGGACAAGAAAAGTTCAAAGCCATCAGGTCTTCAGTTTAGAGACAAGAGAAAAGAAGAGGAGAAGAAACGAGCAAAAGATACAGGTAAGCAGATGTGTCATTGGATAATGGCAGGGCATCCTGAAACAATCAGAATCAGAATACTTTATTAATCCCTAAGGAAATTATGTGCGTTACAGTTGCTCCAAGAAGAAATGGTAAAAATGGCAACAGTAACAGACTAAACTCTAAACTATACATTATGTTACAGGTTTTAATATTAATTAGTCATCGTCAATTGTTGATTTGTCCTGTTCTCATTGTATGACGAATTATGATGGCTGTTTGGTAGCCGTTTGCATACAATGCATACTCTCTCTCTCTCTCTTCATATGTGTGTGTGTGTACAACAGCTTTATGTTAATGTACAATCCTTAACCCTCTGGGGTCCAGGTTATAATTGGCCATTTTTGACTACTTTTGATTTTACCTCTATATTTCACCTTTAAAATATGTTTTTCTTGCCTTATTTGGTATCATTATTTTCAGCACAACCTCAAATATCTGAAATTTGAGTTATTTTTTTCATTTTGGTATACTATATTAGCACAGTTGATCTAAATTCAGACAAAAAATTCAAAATCTGAGTAGAAAAGGTATATTTTTTACTGTAAAACCCACAAACAGGTTTTAGCGAATCATTTTCATAACTTGAAATGCAAATAGAAATTGTACATTTCTAAAAATTATGCACAAGTTTTGCAAACAACAAAGTTATATGGTACTATTTATCTGAAAATGCAGCCAAGGCCTCAGGCGTTTTTTATATAACCCTTTAAATCTTTTTACAGAACAATCAGGTGTGCTGCATCAAATAAGAAGGCACACAAATTATTTGTGCCAGTCCAAAAAATGTAGTTTGTGTTCAGTATAAGACAGAGGAGAACACCAAAGGCCTAAACCCTGCAGGTCTGACAGCAGGAGGTGCATCAGTCCAGTTTTCCATGCGGGAACAGCATTTACACTGGAATCTGCCTTTGAAACAGGCTAGGACCGCCACTGGGTGGAGGAACCTTAAGATCAGGTGTAGCGGTGCATAGTGGGAACAACAATCACCTAGAAATAAGGCATATAATAATTTGCGGTGTGAGCTTCAGTGGACTTTATTCTCTTAGAGTCTGTGATCAGCTGACCTGTGATGCTGCTGCTTGATATAAGCAGATGGATCCCAAACTATCAGCTGATGTTCAACCAACAACAGACATAATTCAGAGAGTGAAACTAATCAGCATCTGAAGCTTAAATTTAAATTGATGTCTGCTACCTCTGATGTAAGCTAACATGGACCATGAATGGAGAGGACAAGTTTAAAAAGCCAAATGGTAAAAAAAATGTTTTTTATAAATGAGGGTTGAAATATTCCCCAGATAAACATCAGTCATGACACAGCCTGCAAGCAAACAGATCATAACAGGTCAGTAAGCCTGGATCTTATTGCTTTTTTACCTGTCTAAATTACCACGGTAATGCTGTACACATCACCTACTGTAGCCCAGGTGATTTTCAAAGATTTGATTTAAAATCAGGTAAAAGTTCCACATTTTCACTGAGTTCTTTCATTTATTCAAAGTCTGCTTTCAGTGGGAAATCCTCTGCTGAAAGAGCTTTTTTTATATATCAGTCTGCACCTTTTTAACACAAACAATACACCTTTAATGTTTACCTGCATGAACTCTGAAGTGTCATATTAGAAACAAACGGCATCACTGAGAGCACATTCAGTAGTCCTGTTGTGAGTTCATCAGATTTAATGATTTTGTACTGAAGCATTCATTTTACTGATACATATTCTTTATTGATCTCTGCCACCTGTTCCTCTAATAGTGTTTGACTGCTGTAAGCTGCTCAGCTGATCCACTTTGTGTAGTCAACGTGTGACGCCCCTCCTTTCATGTGAGCGCACTCAGAGCTTGAAGTCGAAACTTTGGTTGGCAAACACAGTTAATAACTGGTTTCCCGAACTATCAGCCGATGTTCAACTAATAGAATTCAGAGAGTGAATCTAATCAGCATCTCCAGCTTAAAGTTAAATTGATGTTTCAGACAGAAAGATGGACAATAGAAAGTGAATAAAAGAAAGTTAAGACAGAAAACATCTGACAAAGAAACACAAACTGTTCTTGTTTAACTTTCTTGTTTTTATGATGACTTTTACTTTTGTGATGATTTTCTGTTTTTAGCTCAGCTAAGTTTCACCGTTTTGTTTTCCTCTGCAGTTCATCCATGTTTACTATTCGTTTTTTATGTTTTGTTGTGTTCTTGTTCCACTTCCTGTTTATGTTAGTAGCTGCTTTTCTTTTTTTCTGTGTGTGGTTTTATCAGAATCAGAATACTTTATTGATCCCTGGGGGAAATAATTTTTCGTTACAGTGCTCCATTATAAACAAACATTAACAAAGACAGACAATACACTAACTAAGAATAGCACAATATATACAGGCATACTGGCCTTTTGGATCAGTTTATCAAGTCTGTTGGCATCTGCGACCCTCAGCCTGCTCCCCCAGCATGCAACAGCATAGAGGATCGCACTGGCCACAACAGACTCATAGAAAATCCTCAGCATTTTCTGGCAGATGTTGAAGGACCTCAGTCGCCTCAAAAAATAGAGAAAAAACTGGCCCTTCCTGTAAAGTGCTGTGGTGTTTTTAGCCCAGTCCAGTTTATTGTCAATGTGTACTCCAAGGTATTTATAGTCCTCCACAACGTCAACACTGACCCCCTGGATTGAAACAGGGGTCAAGTGTTTCCTGGTCTTCCTGAAGTCCACGATCAGTTCCTTGGTCTTTGCCACGTTGAGCTGCAGATGATTCTGCTCACACCACGTGACAAAGGAGTCGACCACAGCCCGGTACTCTGTCTCTAACTTCAGCCTGTGTGAGTGTCTGACCTGGCCTCATTATTTTTCTCTGCTGTTAATTATTTGTATCTGTTGTTGAATGTTCTCACCTCCATCTCATCTTCAGTTACTACAGTTACTCATATTTTGTATTTTAAATACATAACGCCGTACATGTATTCTGCTACTCCCCAACACTGCAGAACAATGAGGCGACTGCTGAATGTTACAGGTGCTGCCAGAACGCCACCAAAGGCAGATTACAGTGTAAACAGTGTCTCCAGGTTGTCAGACCTGCAGGTATCAGGCTTCTGATGTTCTCCTTTATAGTGGACAGGAATTATTTTTTGGAATAGCACAAATAATTTGTGTGGCATCTTATTTAATGCAGAACACCAGATTGTTATGTAAATAGTTTGAAATGGCTATTTTAAAAAAAAAAGGTAAATGACAGCAAATAACTTGCTGTTTGCAAAACTTGTGCATATGATTTTAAAATGTACAATTTAGATTTGTATTTAAAGTTATGAAATATGATTCAATAAACATGTTTGTGGTTGTTACAGTAAAAAATATAACTTTTTCTACTCTGATTTTATGTTTTTTGTCTGATTTTAGATCAATTGTGTTAATACAGTCTG